CTTTCAATATCGATCGTCTTTCTCTCTGAGGAGCTGTTTGACGGTGACAGCTCGCGCGGGCGGCAAGGGGGTGGGCTGGGGATAGAGGGTCAGTGAGTGCGTGCAGAGTAGCTGTGCGTGACGTGGGTGTCTTCAGCTGTCAACTGGTGTCTAGTGTCACACTAAGAGGATCTTCTGATGATATCAAGGATTACTGATGTTATGCAATGATGAAATTGACGATGATAGCCGTTTGAAACGCGTGCGCAGGACTGATTTAGGCATGTTAACCTCGTATTTAGCAATACGCAACACTCGAGTGATTACGCTGCATACGTCGGCCATTGCACCAGCATCATACTCATACATCGAGTCGCCAAACCAAAGTCCATTCCTTCAAGTCATCTCAATTTTCCACACCCCGGCTCCATTCTATGCAAATGTCCCCACCCCTCAGACTGCCATATGTTCCGCGGCCGTCGTGGTATTGTACTGCGCTCACTCGCCACCGACCGAGGAACTGGGAAGTGATGGAGCGTATGTGTCGCACCTGAGAAAGGGTCAGACCGCACCATGGGGGAGTACAGGACGGTATTCCGGTCAGGACGTCCCTCCCACGGCGCCAGGCACGCGAACTGTACCTGTTGTGATGCTCGGGCACGGCGAAGTGGGACGATGGGTGAAGGAATTATGGTGGAGGGATTTGGAAGCGGGAAGCCATGAGCCAAGAACCCTGGACCTTCCCCGCTTAGTATCTTTGCTTAGAATTGTATTTCGAAGTTGTATCGAATCTTGCCGAAAACAAGAAAGACGTGACACAAGGTTGAGGAAAATCTACGACCTTGGACAAAGATAAGTACGAAACTGGATGTAGGATTTCGAACTAGATGACAAGTGGCATGCAAAATAACAGACCTCGAGGAGTCTCAACTCGACAGAATCTAAATCCTTATAACTGTGCTGCAGTTGCTGGATATGACACGAACTATCGTGCGCTTGATGAAATACCCCCTTCTGTAAAATACTGTCGAACGCTTTACGCCTCCATTGGTAATTGAGGTGCACATTCCTCTATCCATGGGCGGGGCAGACTCCACCAGCGCGGATGGGTCAATTTGGCGTCCGACTCCGATTAGCGTGGAGTCTAATCGGACGGTGGCTGGAGATGGTGCCTTGGCTCAGTTCTGGTGGCAATGAACCCAGCTGTGCTATCGGCCCGCGCTCGAATGGCTTGTCGTAGGTGTGGTTGTTCCTAACTGCATTACTAGCGCTCGAGGTTTACGACGCGAAATGTTCTTTTTTTGCCCCAGTGATCATGGGCTACGAATCATAGTTACTCTCAAAATTTATTCACTTTTGAATTATTGCTAAATTTTTTTTCGGCATTTGTCGATAACCGTCCTTTATCATGCTCTCGAGCACTATTCGATATTTACCCAGGGCACTGCAAACGAGTTTGTGCACTAAAACGATTTTGATGAAGTGTGCCTTCGATGATCAATTTCTCAGCTTAATATCATAATCGGGTGAATGACAGTTGTACTAAACCTCATGCAAAAAAAAAAGAAAAACGTTTGAATTCTGTAGCTCCACGTCAATAATTTTCGTCACCCGAGAGTGAACAAATCTGCCAGAAATCAACCATGGCCGGCCATGGTTGCGTTTCCTGTCAATTAGATACGAGCGCTATTCATTGGAAACTACAATGGAGTTGTCACAGAATTAGAATCCCATTGTCTTCTGAGAACAGACGCACGGGGTCAAGGCCTTCATGGCCGCGCCGCTGTCTGGAATAGTCGGGGACGTTTAAATGTCTTCGTAACTATCCAAGAGAAGTCCGCACTTGTCCACCTCCGCAGGGGCTCCCATAAACTCCGGGTGTAAGGCTGACCCGACCGCCTGCACCCGCCCACCCCACGACCCATAACCGCGATAACCGCGATCCAGCGCCTCCGAGGGTCCACCTGGCCCTGAGAACCTCCCCATGGTTGGCGCGGGTGTCCGTAGAACTGGTGCACAACTGACCAGTTCTCAGCAGTGGCCATATAGCGGCCGGTTGGGGTTGACCCCGCGCGCTTCAGTCGCTGTTCTCGGCCAAACGGTCCGTCGGGCGGCGGCGGGCGGTCCGCCCGAGTTATTACTGCCGGGGGCGGCTAGGGGTCAGCAGGGTCAGCTGCGCCGCCTAGCCCACTGATTGGCTGATGACACGGTGCGCCAAGACTGGAGACGGCCCCGGCCGCGGGGCAGGACGGGACGGGACGGGAGGGAAGGGAGGAGAGGAGAGGAGAGGGGGGAGATGGAGGCAGAAAAAAGGAATCTAATTTGGTGGAGGCTGGAATGTAGTTAATGGTGTGATAATGAGTCTTGAGGTGATCAGCAGTGTTACAATATCTTTGTTAGGCTTCTGTTGTGAGCTGCAAATAGCTCATAAGGAAGCTGTGAACATCAACATCAAACGATGACTCGAACATTCGAGTAAAGGTTGTGCGACTGACAGTAGGTGTTATTTCTTCAGGCGCAATGAAATAAAAGAAAATGAATGTTGTAATATCTACTCGGTAAAAAGGTTGAGCACCTTTGATCTGGTTTTCTAGAAAATAAACATCATCTCTCATAGCAATCGTTCTCCAAATCGGCACCAGTACAGACTTTCGTCTCTTGCAGCGGATGTGGGGCTCAGTTCAGAAGCTGTGGCCGGCAAGAAATATTCCGATCGCGTGATCGAGAGAATGCTGCACCTTAAGATCGCTCCAGAATGCCGGCTCAGTGCAAAAACCACGTCAGAGGCTCACAGGTGGCCGCGGCCGGCCAGAGCGGCGGTCGTGGCGCACCCGGACCATTTGTGACGCAGACGGTTATGGCGCGCTGGTCCCATTCGCGACGCATCGCGTGACTTAGATCCATGCATGCCAATGGAATGCGAGCCTCTGTATGGGGGTTGTTAGTAGCCAGGTTTTATTGCCGAGCGGCACTAAAAATGTCAGGGCACTAATTGCTACCTGCTTCAGCCGGACTCGGGTGGCACATTCGCGCGACGTTGGCCCTCATGGTCACCACTTTGTGAGGGTGCCTTGGTGAAACGACGATGCACAGAAAAAAACTTAGCGAATTACAGGCTAATTAGCAGCGAGAAAAGGTTTATGGAATGAGTTTGGTTACGGTTTTCGTACCACATTTGCCGGTTAAACAATACAAATATGAATTAAAACTATTACAAACTTTTTTTCCATAAGTAGCAGTAGCATCACTTTTGCTCCAGATAGCTCTATTTTCACCAAAGTGCAAAGTACCGTCATACCGTCGCCCAGTTCCCAGTCCAGTTCCATCTCCCCCTTCTAGCTCCCAGTACCAATACCAATACCATTGTAATGTAAGGAGGGTGTGCTTAGCTCGTGCTCCACCAGGGCTTGGCCGGTCGCTGCATATCAATAAGATCACGCCTACCCATTCAGTTCACACATAGTTATTTTTCCAGTCACCATAAACTAGCGGTGCCACCTGCAATGACTTGTACGGGCGGCTTGCACCCTCACACGCCCATCTAAGTCAGCATTAGCGTCGCAGTGGAGTTGCACTGGCCATATCGGACTGAAATGTGACTGCGGACGTCTGTTATTATCCTAGAGCCGGTTTCATATCAATCGTCAGTGAGCATGTTCACACCGGTATCGCGCTCACCTCTGTGGATTTGGGTGAAGTGTTTATCGCTTGCATACTTGTACACTTGCTCAGCCGCATTTGATGGTGTGAACTGAACGTTGAACTGATCCGCTAAGTTGTATGCGGCCTTGTACATTTGCCTGCTCATTGTTGAAGGAGCCTTTCGTGCAACTAAATAACCATCCTTGCAACAGGATTACATGCGATCTAAGCCTTAAGATTTCGAACACGTATCTCAAAAGCCGCGATGATTGCTAGCATCACGCAAAGCAGTCCATCACTGACTTTGCAATTCTTTAATTTATTGTAGCATTTCCGATGCAAAGCATGAGCCCGCATAATAAACTGCATGAACGGCACTTCACGCCATGCCTATTGCATAGGGCGCTATAAGGAGCAACATCCACATGTGTCAGTGACTCATTAGTCGTTTATTACGAGCGAGCGAGCGCAGCGAGCGAAGTGAGTCTTTTCAATATAACGGAAAAATCTCAGTATGAGCGGCCCGGCCCGGCCCGGCCCGGCCTGTAACGCTTTTGAGAGGCTTATATCTCAGCAACCGCTGGACCGATTGGCCTGCGGTCTTTTTTGTTGGGTAGCCCCATCCCTTCTACCCCGTAATTGACTACTTTTGATACATCTCAGTGACCGTCGTGGCACGTGCCACGTGAAAAGTCAAGGGTGTTCAAGCTGTTTTGCAAAAGTAGTGATTTTGAGAGGCTCATATCTCAGCAGCCGCTTGGGCGATTGACTTGCGGTAATTTTTGTAGGGTAGCAGCATCACTTCTACCCAAAATAGGATACTCTCGATGCATGTGGGTCACCCCCAGTGCACGTGCAAAATACAACAATAAGAGGTGCCAAATTTGTTCCCATTTCAGTAGCTCGGTAATTACTGGGGCGATTTCGCTGAAACTTGGCATACAGGTAGGCACCCACCAGGCAATGCATTCCCATGTGTTGGGGTTAGGGTGCTACTGCACGTGCGCACGTGCAGGGGGCGTTTCCAGATCTCGAGAACGGCTGGGCCGATTGCGCTCAAATTTGGTACACGGTTGGGGACCAGTTAGTAGGGTGCCGTGCAAAAGTCATTTTGGACCCCGTTTGCACGTGCGCACGTGCAGAATGCTGCTTCCAGATCTCAGGAACGGCTGGGCCGATTGCGTTCAAATTTGGCACACCGCTAGCGACCGGTTAGAAGGGTGCTTTGCGCAAGCCCGTTGGAAGCACCCTCTCGCCCTTCCGCACGTGCAGGGCTCACTATCTCGCTCGCTCGTTCTTCGCCCAAAAGGCGTTTTACTGGTATCTAATAAACGTCATTGATCGTATTTCTGTTAACTGGTGTGTGCATTTTGTTTCAGTTGTCATGGACTTCAAGCGTTGTCCGCAACTGTTCACCACTGCCTAAGTAGCCACTGGTGTCTGCTCGTGCCACTAGTGCTCGTGCCATTGTCAAGGGTCTCCGGCTAGTCATTTAGTCCTCCGCAAACCCTACGATCGTCACAATGAGGGACGAAGAAATGGAAGTTGCAGTAAAGGTGAGTTAACCCGCGCACCGACGGGGGGGGCGGATATCCGCCCCCCCTGAGGTTTTTCGCGGATAGCGGGAAAACCGCGGCGCGTAGCGCCGCGAAATTTGGTATGACTATTCTCTCATCAATTTTACACATGGTGTGCAAGTTTGAACCTCCTAACTTTTAAGGTCAGGTCACCAGGTCACTTTGAATGACCCAACCTCAAGTCACTTTTTTGCAACTTTGTCACCGTGCCAGAGCTACAGTAGATGTCGAAGGCCTTTGAAAGTCGCAGGATGTTATTAGGTCATTAGTAGCTACAATTTGTATATCTCGGAATTTTGATGTCGGTGACCTAAGGTCAGGTCAATTTCGCGACCTCCCCATTATAAGTCAATGGGGGAAAAATCAACTCCCTGTTTTTACCACTAAAACGGGTCGGAATGGCCCCATATACCATACATGACTTCACATACGATCAACCTTCACTACCTTGAGGTCTGTTTTGCTGTTGGGCAGCTGTAAGGTCATGTGACGTCATCAAAGGTCACCAAAGGTTTTTTGCCAATAACTCCTTACAGGAACAAGATACAGCCGCGCGGATGGTCTCATTGTGTTCAGCTCGTCAAGACGCATCGAATGATATACATGATGACCTCGAGGTCACGTGACCTGAGGTCAACCTTTGACCTTGACCTTTCGAGGTCAACATATATATCATTCGATGCGGATTGACGAGAGGATCACGATGATGCCCTTAGTTTGTTCCTATCTTGACTACTTGGAAAGTTATTCGAGAAAAACCCTCTCCATATCTAGCGCCGCCATTTTGACTGTTTCGACCCCTGTGACGTCATCTTTGACCTGACCTGAAAATGACCTTAGTAAAAATTGTAGACCTTGTCCGTGTGTATCCGATGCCGTTTACCGCTTGTCGCTATCTTGCTTCGTTCTCGAGATCTCAGGGGGGGCGGTCATCCGCCCCCCCCCCCCCGTCGGTACTAAGTTGGCGCAGACCCCCGTCGGTGCGCGGGTTAAGAACCTACCGTGTTCACCGCTTGTGCTGTTGGTGTCCGTATCAAATAACAAGGAACAATCGAAAGCAGCTCAACAACATGGGAAACCGGTTCACTTTCGATGTCATACGGCGGACTTCGCCGTCTGTGATTAGCACGAGACTATTGTTTCGGTCTTGTGGTGCATGCTATCTTAATTGGTAGGTACTTTAATCAACCGGTTAATATCAACAGAAAGGTGTAGATCGAAAGTGAGCTTCACCATAATGTGATAAGTACAGTTGCCCGAAGTCAAATAACTACTCCAAAATAGGAGCTCTGGCTATTTATTAAGGTTTTTTATGTTTTAGCCGAATTCCCATACCAGCACCTTATTGATGTGAATCCCAGTTGAGTGTATTACCAAATGTAGAGTAAAAAATATTCCCCACTCTACACTTCAAAGTTAGGTCTTGGGTGACAACAACCAAATGGTCTTGAGAAGCTGAAAAGTGAGTCGTCACGGCCACCATTTATACCCGGACATTGAACAGATGGTGTACAGAGGAGTGCGGGGACGTGACGATGGTATCTGCAGCAGGCTGAATGTGGCATCATCTCATTGGCCGGCCGACAATCGGTGCATATCATTAGAGCCTCTCGAGAAGTCGGCGGTCTGATCAGCCGGTGCCGGGCGGCCGATGTGAATGACCCTCCCTCTGCGCCGCTGCCTCTCGCGCTCTGTCGATCGCCGCCCGGACAGAGCATCCCAGAGGTCACACAATAGAGCCCAGAGGTCAGCCCACCGCTGTTGTTGTGCACTGTCGCGTGCGCTCTGTGCTGCATTCGTTTAGGTCTGATTCATGCAAATCAGGGGAAGAAATGTATGGATTCTGTCGGGGAGAACAGAGCGGAGACGAACGAAAAGCGACATTCCTGGATAGTTTTCTGTCAAAGCTGTCAAAGAGATTTACAGCGTCGAAGTTTTCTGACCGTGCTGGACAGAAAGTGAGGCTGAACCTCCCTGCAGCTTGCTCAACACTAATCGTAATTTATTGGTTTGCCCTAAGAGAAAATGTCAGAGGAGGAGGCATTGGTTGTGAAACGTCCGTCGGGCTTTGACGTTGCGTCAAAAGTCTGTGCGGAGCTTTTCCGAAATGCACATTCTTTGATATAACGTTTCCAGCATTCATTTACTCATATACATGTTTCCGCTTGTGATTCTGCTGTATGCGGCGTTACAGTCTCCTGTGGTGCTAGTGTTCAACACAGCACTGCGGTCTCCCGTCAGTAATTCATTGTGGGTATAGGTAGCATTCAGGCAGAATGCCGGTTGACTTGACGTGTGAAATCAATCAATAGTCACAACAAGCCGAGTAAGGAATTACTGGGTCCAAGCACAAATTATCGGAGTTTTTATGCAGCTCAAACGTTTTCCGTTTAATTCCGCATTTCCACCGTAGCAGCAATTGCCGATCAAAATCACGGAGTATTTTCTTTTTCTAGACGTTTCGAACTGGCAAAGAGGTGCATTTCTATAATAGGGAAGAACATCTTCATCGGATTAAGCTTGTTTGATGTGAAGAAAAAAAAACACGAAACAAAACATTTGTTTTCGGAATGTGACGAAAATTTGTATAAGGCTGCACGAGCAAAACGAGTGCGAAAATTAACATCAAACCTTCTGTCGAGATAAATTACCGTCGAACCGTATATCGTTTTTGGTGTGACCCCTCAGTAGTAGTTCTGGTGGTGGTCCTCCGTCTCTGCTGACCTTCAGTCGCCAGGTGGTCTGTTCTGTTCTCCTCTGGCCCCGTCTGGTTACACTCCAGGGATCCACTATTTTATGGAAACGGTCCGACAGGATGGTGCCAGCTTTGAATGGAGCACCAAAAGAACAGTTTTGTGGCACTTTTGGTCACAAAGTTACTGGGACCGGAACAAGGAACAGGGTCGCGGAAGAAGGTAATGGCTTGAAATATAATTGTAAATATTGTCTTGAAAAGGCACTTCTTAAATCGAGATCAAACGTGATTGAACAATACATTATCCCGGCATTACTTATATGTTTTAGAATTTAGATAGTATAAATTAGTCGAAGCAAAATGTTAGAGGTCCAGAAATATCCAACATGTCTAGCCGTCCTGCCCTGTTCCTGCCCTGCTATTCTAGACAACGCCTTCAATTCACAACAGTCCGTGAATGGAAAATGTATGTCTGTCTTCCTCCATTTTTGTTTGCACCTGCTCCTGATAAAGCGCGCCAACTCCCCGAAATTGCATTGTGCTGTCGCGTGAGAGCACACAAGTATTTTTGTTTGTTGAAGCATTTTGTCCTATGTGCCAACCGGATGCTTATCGTTGCTTGGTGGCTAGAACACGGATTCTGTACCGCAAATCTGGCATGGTATCGGCAAGGAAAGCGGTGGCTAAGGTGGTACTTCCTCGCGGCTATAAACTACGTTACATGTATTTATTTTACCTGAGAAAGGTATTATCTAGTTGGAAAAGCCCAGACATTGCAAGAACTGTTACGATAAATCATAAAACATTCTTTTGAATGTTGATCATTGGCAGGATAGCATAAACTACGCGAAGGAAACTTCATCAAAGTTAAAAGAACAGAAAGTATCTTTGACCTGATTATTTAAGTTCTGGTTCCTGTCAACCCCTGCCAATCTTCTGTTAATTTTTACATGAGCCTTGTGACTATTCAGAACAGAAGGTGAAGGTCTAACAGTAGATGTATCCACACAGAGATTTGATACAAATCACCGTCTATTCCGTGCCAAATACATTATAACTGAAAATGCATCTTAGCTCGTTATCAACTCTTCTCGGGACGATGATCCCACGATAGACTAGGCCCACCCAAAAATGTCAAAGGTCCGCAATTACCCTCAAGCAAGTCTCTGCGGCAGCTGAAGCAGCCTCGTTATAACTGCTAACCCAACCCGTGGCCATACACAGTACACAGTACACACCCACCAGGAAAAGGGCGGTTTCCTGCCGGGCTCCGTGGTCGAATCGGTGAGGAATGCACGGTCGGCAGTCAGGGGCGCGCCCAGTCACGTCACGGGGAGGGGTGGCTGGGCGGCAGGGGAGAGCAGGGGCGCGTCCAGGCGTGTGCCTCAGGGAGGTGGTAATATGACGTCGTGGGCTGTGACAACTGAGGATGTGTGCGATCAGCCACATATTTGGGGTGACATCACTGGCAGATGATGACTGATTTACCTAATACCTAATGTTTCCCTATATTGAACTACAAGGAAATTAATCACAAGTTAAAAACAGAAAGAAAAACTCAGATTGCGGGCTACAGACGATAAATCACATGCACTCGTATTCAAACTCTCTGCTGTAGGTATATTTCCGATCCATCAAGCTCGCACTGCCCATTGCAGGGTTTTTTATAAATTTAGTCCGAACCTTTCGATGGGAAGGATTCACAAGGACAGAGCCACCGCTAAGCAAAGCTTGTTGCGATGACCCTGCCCTCTACCCTCCGATCGCGCAATTCCGGTGCTATGGCAGAATTTAGAGTCCAAAGTTTAACGTGCGCACAAAGTCGCGCACGGCCGGTCCCCTCGCTGACTTCGCCTGGCTACGGCCTGCCAGCAACCGCAACCATACCTGTCAGGAGGCCCATAAATGTCGAGCGCCCGTCGCGCTTCGAACTCGGACTGTCATAACCGGGGACGCGTGCTCTCACCACGCGGAGTCCAACGCTCTAACCAACTGAGCTACGGGACCGGCAAATGTGGGCCGGTCCGGCAAATGTGGACCGGCAGGTGGTGTTAAATGTGATTGAACTTTTTAACGACGCGTTGCAATACTTGAGTCAGACATTGCATCGCCCTGTAAATAGCTGTGTTCCTGTTGCTGCGCTAAGCGCTAGTCTAAAAATGTTTCTTCCTCCTACCCTGCAATTTCTCGTCCGATTTTCACCATCCATCCAGGTGGCCAAGCTTCTGCACTTCTGCAGCGCCCGTTCAGTTCGGGGGGCTCCACCATTGTGCACCCATATCTTCCGACCCATTCAGCTGTCGCGCGTTTTTATTTGTCGGCGGCCCGCAGTGGACCCGGCAGAGCTGCCGGCTGTCGCGGCGGCCCGCAGTGGGCCCGGCAGAGCTGCCGGCTGTCGCGGCGGCCCGCAGTGGGCCCGGCAGAGCTGCCAGCTGTCGCGGCGGCGGCGGCGAAGCACGCGTCATTGTTGAACCGGTTGTGGTGACCATGAGGGCGACTGCTAAGCTGCCGGGAGTGCAGCGGACCGGCCCAACGCCACCTGACGATGGTAGGCTGGACGGCAGCGGCCGCAGCGGACGGCGGGCGGCGGCGGGCGGTGGAGGGACGTCTTTGAAATGTGAGGGAGTGGGGAAATCGGCCGCTGACAGGTGTGGTTTTAGCTGTCAGACAGCTCAGATACGGCCAGTGGGTATTACCGGATTCCACGAGATTGGTACCGAATGAAACAGTTTTGTTCGTATAGGAAGATATCTGTCCTGTCCTGAAAGAACCCCGGCATGTTTTGGCTGCCGTTGCGCTGTCTTATATAACAGCGAAGACCAAATCAAATATCCTACGGTGCCAGGACTGACATTCAAAGTGACAACTGACATAAAACAAAATCAATTATATACCTATTACCTACACAACTGTCTCTGTGTACAACTGCAGAACACATAACTGAAGTCTCAGTTTTCTGCTTTCATAGTTCAAACTTCGAACAAAGAAAAATCGACTGCAGGAGGTATTTATCACATTCATTTATCCATCAAGCAACAGAATCTGGAGAACATTTCCCACAAACTTTGAGCCCTCTACGAAACGGAAATGTTTCTTATTTTCTCTCGCGCCTGTCCTGATCAACGGATAACAGCCAGCATCACGCAGCCAATCTCCTTATCGTCACGAACGGCCGTCTGAGTTCAAACAGTTTCCTCCACATGCACATTGCACAGTGCACAAGGTGGCTACTTTAGCCGCGATACATACCACCACAGCCGCACTCACCGCACCGCAGCCACCCGGCCGTCCGGAGCGCGGCCAAAGCGGCGCGCGTGCGACGCTCGGCGCACCTTCCCTGTCGCATCATACATCACCCAGCCGGCCGAGTGATGCGCGCGTCAAACTAAATCGATCTACGACAGCCTAAAACGGCCGCTGATCGCGCGCACAAAGGCAACTTTGACACGCTTTGAGCATGTGATTGTGCCCGCGCCATCTGCTGCACTGCGCGCCTCGTTTGCCGCACTTGTGGCGCTCGCGGTGCTTTGTTTTCACTGTCTGAGACGAATCTGGCGCAGTGCGCTCGGCTGGCGGTGCTGCGTCTGCGCCACGAATGGAGCGGTCGTGTGTGATCAGGAACGCATTGTGGACAGTGGATGCCTGGCGTGCCTATACGTGTCTGTGGCGTAGGAGCTACGTCTGGCATCGATACTCGAGAGCCGTCATGGAGACCCAAGTCTCTCTGTGGAACGTTGACTGTTTCAGTCTGAGAACTATGGTGGGCTAATATCTGCTTGGTTGGAAAGTCGTTTAAATCCCATCGATCAAAAACGTAGTCTTGGTGAGATGGGCGAACGAATGCCTGAGCTGTGGCAACACTCTTTTCAAGTCAACTTTATCCGATGGGCAGTGAAACCACGCAGTGACAATGGACAGCGTAACAGAGATCCAAATCCTTAATTCAGCCTGAGCCCGGAGGATATGCCAAAAAGCCGTGCACACGTCTTCCCAGTATGAAAGATTTAATTCTACTGCTTCGATGTCCGATTTTTGGCAAGCATGCCTTGAAGTCACCACCCCGCCGCACCGGCCAAGGCGCCCAAAGCGCGGATCCCACTCATATCAGATTCAGAGAGTGTCTGAAAGCCACCATCCATAAGAAAGTCGTGGTGGTCGTGTCCATCATCCATAGATAAGACCGGTGATGTCAAATCACGTCGATCTATCCGTCGAATCACGTCGATAACGGTATGCTAGGCGCAGGTCTTGACTAAAGAGAGCAATGCTTTCGCCTTCCATTAGAAAGAGACAAATATAATTTAATTCCATAAGAACAATCAAAAATGTTTGTTCTGAAGCCACGAGGCCCACGAATGAACGTGACTGGAACTAGTGACTATAGTTCGTTTTTCTTAAGTTTGCCCCTCACTGTAAACGTCTTTTTGAACACAGCACGAGAATTGCTAGCTGAATTACTGAGAAAACTGGTTGGCGCACATTGTATCGGAGATATGAATAATATTTTCAAAATAAGTTTTGAACACAGACGATGTAACGTGAATGTTAAACGCCGTGCAATTTATTAATTAGTTCAGACATAATTCCTGAGAAGTCGTCTATCACTGTGGAGCTGTAGGTATGATTAAATACGAGCTATGAGTCTGTGAAATGGTAAACAAATTTGATAAAATTGATCGTCTGTGAAATCTGGTGAAATCAATGTGCGCCAACCAGTTTTCTCAGTAATTCAGCTAGCAATTCTCGTGCTGTGTTCAAAAAGACGTTTACAGTGAGGGGCAAACTTAAGAAAAACGAACTATAACTAAACTTGCGTGTGTACACTTCCTGAATGGTTTCTACAGAACTGTGAGGCTGATATCTGATTCATAACACGGTGCTAAAGGGAAAGTTATTCTCTGCTTTGTTGAACAACTTTTTAGTGAATAATTGGCTTGACATTAAAACTTGTGTTATCCCCGTATTATACGAAACACTTTCCTTGCATTAGGTGTTGCAAAGGAGCAGATTCTCATCGTCTTGCCTCATTTTATTGGCCATAAACCATCACCATAGGCCATCCTTGTAACCGCGTGCAGAGCCCCGTCGGCCCAGTCCCCGCGGCAGTTTCGGTCATCTCCTCGCCCTCCGTTCCCTCTCTAGGGCTCGTCCGGCTGAGTTGGTGAGTTTCAGCAGATCGGGACAGGGAAGTGACCGGCCTCGGCAGTGACCTCTGCAGGCGCCGTGTCCGTTCCGCACGGCTGGCTCCGTGCAGTGGGCGCGGTGCAACCCGACGCCCGGCTGCGGCGCGTCAGCCGGCCAGTTCACTGCTCCCGACGCCCGGACGCCCGGGGCGCCGGGGCGCCGACGGAGTCAGGAGAGTCCGCAGCCGCCGGAGTCAGGAGTCGGCGGCCGCTCCTCGGGAGGAGCCAGGGGTCGCGCGCGGCCGTCTCGCCTGAATGACCACGGGATGGGCGGAGATGCCGGAGCGTGCGCTGATGCATAACGGCCCCGCGAACGGCCAGCCGGGGGCTGTCAGAAGAGGCAGCGACTGTGAAAAGAGCCAGAGGTCGCAGAAAGAGGTACCGGTGGACGGTGGAGGTGTTGAGCGAAATGAAAAGGCGCTGGTGGTGGAAAATTACCGTCACCCTCCCCAGCCCTTGGAGCGATGAGTTGACAAATGAGAGGAGTGATAGGTTTTAGATCGATGCGATTTAGAATGTATTAGAATGTAGAAATGGGCGTTAAGTTAATAGCCATTGGTCAATAGTCATTTAGATCAATTCATCCGTTTTCAATCCCGGGTATGGCTAGAAAATGCCTGCATTTTTTGCCGTAATGTAGATGCAGGCTAACAGACTTTGTGTTCTGAGTAAATGTTCCAAACAGATGATCAATAATTATTAAAGAACCGACATATTCCCATTAGCTTGCTTGAGACAAATATTCGTTGTGTTTAACCCGACGGATATCCCACTTCAGTCTCCTATCTATTTTCCACCGTTTTCGCAGACCCTCCGATCGTCTAGCCTCTTCTCGCTACTCCTGTCATGTGATCGGTCATGGTCGCCCGATCTCGATGGCCAGGTGGCTGGAATGTCCGCGCTCATCCGGTGCCGGCCAGCCCATCTGTTTATATCGCCTCCTGTCGAATCCCTGCCGATGGCGCAGCACAAAAACTGCTGCCTGTTCGAGGCGGCCGGGATGATCGGCTGAGGCGCCGCTCCGACCCGCCTCGGGCGGTATATGCTGAGGTCGGCGACCCCAGCCCGACGGACAGGGGTGGAGGGGGAGGGGGGAGGTGCCAGTCGGGGTGTCAGACTCAAGGCGAAAGTGGTTATAGCGTTCTGCTGTTATATTGATTATCGCTTGGGGTTGAGTGTTATAAATGAATGAGGTGATCATCCATACAGATGACTACATGGGATTAGCTGAGGTCTGTACGTTTCGCCCTGGTGGGTCTCCATGACTAATCGTGTCTGACCGGACGCTCAGTGTTCGCGCAGATTTCAACACAATGTTAAAACAGTTTCACAATGTCAAACAGTCACGATGATTGGATGTTCCTTCTAGGAACGAAATGACGTGCATACAGCGAGGTAAATGACGGTGTTTGTTATTATGTGGCAAGGGTCATTGTTGTTCAGCATGCATTCGCTTCATCCTTCCTGGATTGCAATAAAATGATTTACCTTCGACCTACCTTGTCTGTACTTCCTTAGCTCTAGTGGAACTTATAAAGTGCCAGCACGTTTCTTTACAGTCCATATCAGAATTAAATAGTCTCCCATAGACCGATCAATATAATTATAAAAGCTTAGAATCTTGTTTAGAAGCTTGAAGAAGGTCGACCCTTTTGACTTTAAGGATGCTCTTTGGTGCTGAACTGCTGACAATAGCTAATCACCACCCCTCTTGTGCCGTCAGGTTGTGATCGTGGGGAACGGCGCCGTGGGCAAGTCGAGCATGATCCAGCGCTACTGCCGCGGCACCTTCACCAAGGAGTACAAGAAAACCATCGGCGTCGACTTCCTGGAAAGAATGATCGAGTGAGTACAGAAAGCTACGCCGCGAACACGAGCTAATGGCTGCATGGCAACGACTGGCCAAGTCACGCAATGAAGTTTTATTTCAAATGTGTTTCCTTTCATAATAAGATGCCAACTGTCTGCCACTTTTCGTGGTATGCATGGGCACAAGAATTGTTAGCGCTTTCTAGCCAGAGGTGCCTTTAAGCAACCTTTTCTATAATTTATTTTTCGTACTACATCGAACATCCCAAATTATACCAACTTTCCGGCCACTTGTTTTTAACAAAGACTCTCACAGTCCACAGACAAAGCAGCCGGCTTATATCCCATTTACGACGAAAATACAGCTATAAACGTTTGCTAATCCGACCGCCACATTGAATGCCGGAGATAATAAACACTCGAACCGCCGATCCGATCTGCAGAGCACATCTGCGCGAAAGTCACCTCGCCGGTGCGAGTCACCGCACTCCCCTGACCTCACTCGACCTTGAGCAGCAGGCGACGACACCGCCCTGGGGTCAGCCGTGAGCTGCTAACTCGGGAGATTGAATACCGTTCAATGCTTCGACCTCCTCACTAGCTCAAACGAATCACTCCAGCTCATGGCTGTATAATGTTTCATTTGCATGTGGGCTTTACCGGCTCTCAGAAAGGCCGGCGACCCGACCAGCACAGAATTGGACATTTGCATAGCAGTTGCCTCGGAGACGGAAAATTGGGAACTGTCTGAATGTATTATCCTGAGCTTTTACGTTTGTTCTTACTGCGCCGATCCGCTATTTCTTGGGATTGTTACTGACGTTCATTATACGGTGAAGACGAGGTTACGCTGAATTAACGGGGAGGCCGCCGTGTTGTATGGAAATGAACACGGTTCGACGGCTTCAACTTTTGTACCTAGACACTCTTTTAGGTATTCATGGGTATGGATTGAATGTCTTGCTTCGTCGTGACCTTTGAACTTTTTGTTGTCATCTCATCTTTTTATTACCGTTCCTAATCCGGTGGTCTCCTCTCTCTGTCTATGTCTCTCTCTCTCTCTCTCTCTCTCTCTCTCTCTCTCTCTCTCTCTCTCTCTCTCTCTCTCTCTCTCTCTCTCTCTCTCTCTCTCTCTCTCTCTCTCTCTCTCTGTCTCCCTCTCTCTCTTCTCTTCTCTCTCTCTCTCTTCTCTCTCTCTCTCTCTCTCTCTCTCTCTCTCTCTCTCTCTCTCTCTCTCTCTCTTCGTCTTTTCTTTCTGTTTCTTTCTCCTCCCTATTCGTCAATCTTTTTTTGCCTGGCTTTTGCCGTTAGTTAGGTCGCTCTCTTCTCTGTTTCTTCTATGGTCAATAGAAGAAACAGAGAAGAGTTAGGCACTTGTTGGCTTCATATTCCTATAAGGCGTTTTTCTACTAAAGAAGAATGCTTGAGCCTTGAACGATAATCTTGTAACTATTTTGCAACTTAAAGGGACTATCCCACCTTCTAAAATGTTGTTAAAACCAGTTAAATTGTGCCCGACTTTATGGATTGGATGACCAGGAACACGGTTCTGGCATTTATTTTTCATTAAACATCTTAGGCTTCCCATATTCCAAACACAAACTTTCAAATATGTGACGTCACAGCCCAAAATTACCTTCTTCCCCAGGCCACATTACTGTCATAAAGCTGATTCTTTTTACTCTGTAGGCACCACAACAAAGTTCAGACCAAGTTTTAAGCGATTTTTCAACGAACAAACCCATTTAAATCAGAATGACTAAACGAGGTGACGTCACACTAACGGTCGCTCCATGTTGAAGATAGGGCCTTGTACAAGGCCCATTTTCAAATGAAGGGAACGAATTTCTTCAACACCAAGAGGCCGCGGGGGTTGCAACCTAGATAGATAGTGGTTTCTGAACCTCGCCGCAAACTTGGCTATCTCAACTCAAACCCCATGTTAAAGGTGGGATAGTCCCTTTAAGATGACACAGTGCATCTGCATCGCATAACCTTGAGCAGTGAGCTGGCTCCATGGAGCGCTGCGTCGTTCAACCGTGAAGAACTGACGTCGTGTATCCTGTCCCTCTCCCCTCGGTCCCTCCTCCTCCCGCCCTCCCCTCCTCCCGCTCTCCTGCTCTCCCCTCCCTCTCCCAAGTGACGCGAGACGCTGGGTTTTATTGCTGTGAGTAGCACGGCCTAGGGCTATGGCGCGGACGAGGGACGGAGGGAGCAGGCCTTTTGACCGCTGACCGTGGATCGTTTATGGCGGGTCGGGCTGGGGAAGTACGAGCACAGGTAGCGGGATCTACGCTGTTCGCACGGCTTCCAGATGAGGTCATGGTCCCGAGACAGCGCGTGCTCAGCTGGGTGGAGGCTGGAGTCTGAGCGAGAGCCATGCAACAATTGTAAGCCGTATGCAAAGGCGAACTTGAACTTTAAAGGTTAACACGCTATAAAAAGACATTGAAGTTTTCTTCATGGTTAGCATTTTCTAGATGTTAAAACAATATTGGTATGCATATCAGCATTGGACTGCTTTCATTTGATCGCTAACCTGCGCCCCGTAGGGCTATCGACGGACCCTACCACCCGTGGGGGGGGGGGGGGCGTTTCGCCTCCCTCCCTAGGGGGCGCGGGCTAAGCGTAAGTTTCAAGTTTAATTTGCAACCATTCTAGCGATCAAATAAAAAAGACGATCCTAAAAGCCTAAGCATACCAATTTCTTGCGGACTAAAAAACGAGCTGTGAAGTGAGCGCCGATCAATGCCAGTATTCCCTCGCCCCAGTAATTGGTGACCAGCTGGAACCGTAAACACAGATAAGCATCAGCGTCGAGGAGGCTATATATACCCGGCGAGCTGATGTAAGGCCGGACAGAGCTGTCAGTTTTCCCACCGACAGTTTTATGCTTATGATGACAGTAACCGTGGACTGTTCGGTGGTAAGTTATTACTAGACTTTTCGACAGCACTGTAGGATAAACGTATCGAAATATACATAACGTTGTACGTTATTCGTTTCGTGCGTGCAATGTCCATGCCGTTGTAAGATACAGGCGCCCAATGGTGGTGAATATAACGATATTAAGCATATTTTTAAAATTAATAATACGGGATTTATTGTAAATGCGGAATAAATTGGTCAATGGACGTCCGTTTTTTCTTAAAAATTCAACTTATATGGAAATCGGTAAATGATTAATGTCTTACGTCTGGTATGGCATGTCAAATGATCTTTTCCGGTTGAATTACTCAAGAAGTTTCCCCCTCGGGCCTCGTATATACATATTTGGGTCATGGACAGCTGCAGTGGATAATTGCACAGAAGTCTTTAAATGTTCGTTACGGAGCACAATTATGTTTAGTTTCGCAACCGCCTGGCACGTTGATAAACAGGTGACACCAAAGTAAAGCATATGTATAAACGAACGATATTGTTGTGCTATTGCTTAATGAAATGGGTAGGACCGGGAATTGAGCTTCCTCCCTTTTTATAAGATAGACACCTTCTGGTCTCCAGCATAGGTGAAAATATCACTTGGTTACAGTTTGCGAACAGGAATGAAACATAAAGTAACGGCTGTGGTCAAAGGACATTTTGATTTCAGCACAGTGCTTTCGTTTTACTTTTAGTATTTAACTTAAGGTAATTGACAATGAAAATGATAATTCACAATTGACATAATCCTTTTCTTGTTACATTTTATTGCACTGGTGCAACGGTGACTTTGCCAAAATTCGATTCCACATGAGAGCAGCCCTTTTTCCCACGTTGATAAAAGCAATAAACATTTCATTCTCGAGTCCAGTTTTTATCCGACGGCTGATCAATGTCTCTGATAGTGGCAGCTCATACCATTAGTGCCACGTGAAGCCGTCGACTACAGCAATGAAAGTAGCCGCCAATTAGGGGGCGAGAAGTGATCTACGACCTTGCAAACCGGTTAGGTTTCGGTTCGGTGCGTCTTTCTGTGCATATAAAAATAAAACCTATAATTCGTTTTTATGTGTTGCGTAATTGTCACCGTTCGACTGAACACAGTCATGTGCTCAATTGCATAAAACTCGATTTAAAAAGCATTCTTGAAATGCAATCCAAGCTTGGGATTATGTCCATTGTGCAATAAAATGCGTCAGCCTCATTACAGCGGTATTGTGGCCGGCATGTACGAAAGGTCTTGAAAACGATCTTTCCCGCTGTAGGTGTACTAAGTTCACTGTTAGACCCAAAGCCCCTTGACCGTTCTCAGTGCATAAACTATGTACTCCTTGCTCGACGACCTGGTGCGACTGACTTGCGGTCTCTCCCCAGTGCAGACCTCACAATGCACTTCTAAAGGATGTGTACGACGACCCGGTGCGGCTTATGTGTGACGCTGTGTGATGTGATGTGATGTGTGATGCTCTGCCGTTCCCCACAGAGTGTACGACGACCTGGTGCGGCTGATGTGTAACGCTGTTGCTGCTCTGTCGTTTCCACAGGGTTTACGACGACCCGGTGCGACTGATGCTCTGGGACACCGCCGGCCAGGAGGAGTTTGACGCCATCACTAAGGCTTACTACCGCGGCGCGCAGGCGTGCGTGCTCACTTTCTCAACAGTGGACCGCGCCTCCTTCCAGGCCGTTCGGCACTGGAAGAAAAAGGTCAGTTATCCCGCCCCTCTAGACCGCGCCTCATTCAAGGCCGTCCGGCACTGGAAGAAAAAGGTCAGTGCGAATACGGGATGTTTCGATAGTGGTACGTTATGTTCAGAGCCATTGATACTGATGTAGTTATTATCACATGTAGCAGAATCAGCGGGGGCTGCCAAGGCGAGGCATATGCCATTCTTCAGATTAATGAAAGATATGTGTGGTCGTTAAATGATAAAAAATTAAGACCTAATCTTATATAACGAGCATCTCGTAGATACTGCGCTCATGGGAGCTGGGTCCGACAACCATAAAGCAAACACCTCTAGCTTTGTCAGGCGCCACATCCTCCACTCACTGCCTCATTTGGTCTTCCCTCCCCGCCTGCCACACACGCCGCTTGGCTAATGGTACGAAATGGCCGAAAATTGCCTCCCACCGCAATCATTAGTAGACTTCGGTCCATTCTGTCGACCCGGGCCGGGCTGGGCTGATACCTCAGCCTCAGTGCACTGACTAGGGCTGTCGCTGGGAACGGCACGCACTATCGGGAACGGTCACATGATTAGCAAGCATTGTTCAGATGGTGATTGACGTGCTAAATAGCGCATGGGTTGTTGGTTAGCTTAGAGGGCATTCACCATTAGGATTCGATTAGGGAAATAGACGTTTATTTATCATGAACTTACCACATTTTATAAAGCACCAAGAATACATTTGTGATTGTTTATTACCGTATTATCGGTTACTTGGTATTGTTAAGTGTTTCGATATTGATTTCATCAAACCCTTTCACCTGCTCATTCCAAATCTCCCATCAGCACGTTTGCAGCTGATTATTTACTAATTGCAGTCTTGGCTCATGTCCATTTATTAGTTATACGCCGTAGAGGCCGAATGGCGAGGACAATTAGCTACCATGATTTCTCGTTGCCCGGCGTCGGCCGAGAGAAGGCATTTCTCTCAACTGTCATGGCGGACACCGATCATTTCTGGATCTGCAGAGATCGCTAATGATCTGTGACGAATGATCGGGTCATCTGCGGATAACGGCGGCTGAATAGATCGGCTAGTGATGCAAGCCCGAGGACAAGAATACGCGCTCACTGGCCAACTAGCCACACTCATCTTATTTTGTGACTCATATTTAACACAAACGTCTCATTTACAATCAAATTAAAAGCCAACTATTAATATGCTTGAGTATAAAATAAAACGTATCCCCAATAACAACCACAGCTTCTGTCGCCTCCTCCCAGGATGTCATAACCTGCTGCCCCGTCCAATCATGGTCAGTTGACCTCAGTAACCGACGGTGACCTGTTGATAAACCCCCTACTGAGCAATATGTCACTGCCCCGGACAGAAGTAATAACCATCGCGCCGTGTCCTGACCTTCCTGACCCTGCCGGACGAGTGCCAGTGGCCCTTCGCTGTGTCAACCGTCGTTGAGTAGCCAAGGGGTCATTGGTTGACCACTGTCGCGTCAGAGCTGTGTCGCCGTCAAATTGGCCGATAGTGGTCACTTGCAGCAATGACTGATGCGTTGTCCTCGATTGGAAGTAAATGTCAGCGGGTGGTTTTCTGCCTGGAAAGACGCGCCAACCGTACGCCATGTCCTTGTTAGATTCATTCACACTGGCCCTCTGTAGTTCAGCGATATACCGCTGTGAGTTGGCCCGGGGCCAGGACAACAGACACCCGCTGAGCCCCACGATTGAATTCGAGTCGCGCGGTCGAACACTTACCATGTTTGGGTCGCTTTCTTTTCGATCGGTCTGTTCTGGTGGTGTTATGTGGCTTTTGGAAAACCGCGAGGCATTCAATCATAGTGGACTTGCAAGAGACGATTGAAAGAAAAATCACCAGACAAGGCTGTGGTTTACTTGAATGATGTCAATGACGCCTCTGTTTCAGCGAATCGATCCATCATATTTGGACGGAGTCAAAATAGAATGTGCGTTTCTATTGAATGACTGCTTGAAAAGGGATATACAAGGAGCGATCAGGAAAAGTAGGAATAGAGAGTGAGACCGGAAAGCGAAAATAACTGCTCCATTACTTTATCTCATTGTAATCCCCTCGTAGTTCGCTCAGTGCAATGACCTGACGTGACCTCGTTCCGTTCTCAGGTGGAGGACGAGTGCGGCTCGATTCCCATGGTGCTCGTGCAGAACAAAATCGACCTGATCGACCGGGCCACCATTGATGCGTGAGTATATGCTGAGCATTCTGGCGCCACTATCCTGTAGCATTCCTGCCGTGGATTTCGGTGAATGGTGATTTAAACGCTGCGGTATGGCAGTAACCCGTGATTTCAGTCGAGTGGTTGTGCCATGACGGCATTGTTATACTCGATGCCCTCGATAGTTGCAACGCAAAAACGTTTTTCGCTTGCTCAACTGCATTAGCGTGCTGATGTCCCGTAGTGACAATCTACGTTTGACTCTAACTGCAAGCGGTAGCTGAAGATACAACACGGGCTCGTCGACAACTCATGACCGATCAATCGACCGTCATGCATCGTTGACAGCTTGCGATTTTTATCTATGAATGCAAAGGGAGCTTAGACTAAGCAATAAGCACCTACGTTGAGACTGCCACCGACAGAGGCTGCAACGCCGTGCAATATTTGAGACTGGGGACTAAAAGACTGAACTGCAATAACTGCCACTACTGGAGACCTACCGACAATGTTAAAGGGACCCTCCCACCTTCAAAAAAGTTTATGAATTGGCATGAAAGTGATGTCGCTCGGTTCAGAAAGAGCGAAAACGAATATCTACCAAATTTCACCGAAAAATATTGACCGGTTTTTAAGATATTAGACTTTTACTTTTGTTTACTTTTTTTGGGATCTCCGCTGTTTCTAGCGACTTTATTTTAGAAGTGCGGCGTTTGCGGCAGATGTTGCGCGCAAATAGCATATACCACCGCGTGCTACAAAACGTTTTAGTCAAACATTTAAAAATCGTTAGATATCTGCGCTGACGTCACACATTCAGAGGGGTATTCTTAAGCATTAGCCCCTCTGAATCAAAATGCTGCAATTTTGAAATTCAATATTTCTGATTTAAGGCATTTCTCGATGTTGTGAGTGCCGAAACCGGTAATTGTGAGCCAGGGACCCCATTTTGGCTATCTCAACTCAAATCTAATGTTAAGGTGGGAGGGTCCCTTTAATAAGCGGAGACTGCAACTACCGACAACGACAATAACTGGAGACTGCAACTACCGACTATGGCAATCATGACAATAACCAGACTACAACTACTGACAGTGACAATGGAGACTGCAACAACTGGCAATGACAATAACTGGAGACTGCAACTACTGACAATGACAATAACTGGAGACTGCAACTACTGGCAATGACAACAACTGGAGACTGCAACTACTGACAATGACAATTATTGGAGACTGCAACTACTGACAATGACAATAACTGGAGACTGCAACTACTGACAATGACAATAATTGGAGACTGCAACTACTAACAATGACAATAACTGGAGACTGCAAATACTGACAATATTTACTGGAGACTGCAATTACTGACAATGACAATAACCAGAGACTACAACTACCGACTATGACAATAACCAGAGACTGCAACTGTCGACTATGATATTCAGAGACTGCAACTACCGACTATGACAATAACCAGAGACTGCAACTACCGACTATGACAATAACCAGAGACTGCAACTACCGACTATGACAATAGTCAATACCCAGAGACTGCAACTGTCGACTATGATATTCAGAGACAGCAACTATCGACTATGACAATAACCATAGACTGCAACTATCGACTATGACAATAACAAGAGACTGCAACTATCGACTATATAATAACCATAGACTGCGATTAACGACTTGCTATCGACGACAATCGGAGACTGCAACTATCGACAGTGACCATACCCGGAGACTGAACTAATGACAATGACCGTAACCAGAGACTGCAACAGTGGACAATAGGCAGAGACTGCAACGACCGACTATGTCACTAATCGGAGACTGCAACGACTGCCTATGGTTACTACCAGAGGCTGCACCAACCAACGACAGTATAGTCTGCGACTCCAATGACCAACTATGATCGTAACCAGAGACTGGAACGATAGATATCAAAATAATCAGACATTTGGGCTAACGCTATCGCAAAGATGTATGCTGTAAAGTAAACATGTATGCACTACATATACGTCGTATTTCACGTTTCCGTTTTCCTATCTTTGACTTTCTAACTTAGCAAGGTACTAATAAAAATTACAAGCCCCTGTAACTAATCCCCTATCACCGTCTCCCGACCCTCAGAGAGGAGGCGGAGGCGCTGGCGCGCGAGCTGAAGGTGCGCCTGTACCGCACCTCCGTCAAAGAGGACCTCAACGTTAGCCAGGTGTTCACGTACCTGGCCGAGCGCTACCTGGCAGAGATGAGGAGCTGGGAGGAGGAGGAATTCGACCCGCCACGACCCGTCATCACCACCAGTGAGTGAAAACCGGTGACGTCATTGGTGGACGGTTGTGACGTCACTGGAGTGTAATGCATTGCAACTACAGTAGGTGTAAGATTTGGTGGCAACCCTTCCACCACTGTCGTTTTTTGATATTATAAAAACAACTAGAGCATGTCTTATTATGTGGCTAATACGTTTCCCAGCTGTGCACGTCTGTTAGCCTTTCACACCCCTTGTTTTTTTTTAGCTCCCGATATTCCTTTTAACACCTGGGCGGCCCACACCACCACCGTCGGTATTTGCCCCGGCCCGTCCGTTGCCCTGTCGACAACTGCTCCTATCGGGTGTTCATTTACCACGCTTACATGCCGCCTCGTGTCCGCCCGGCCGCCAAAGAACGGGAATGACACGTCGTATAGATGGGACGATGGCCAGCTATGTGGCGGCGCCATCAAAGGACACGGACGGGAAATACCGTGGAGCAGGCGTTGTTTTCGGCTGGAAATGTCGAGGATCTGGGAATGTTTTTGACATTGTTTTTGTTTGGTGTTGTACCTGAATAAGACGTTTGAATGGGCTGGCCGCAAATGATAAACTTGGGAGAAAGCGATTGTTTACAACAAAACGAAACTTTCGCTCACTTTGTTGGTGTCTATAATATTTTAACCGTTCTTGTTTGTCCCCAGGCATATTCGCTTCGCCCGGATACAAGTTCCATGGCAAGCCGGGCTATTACGATACTGGCATTATTTCTCTGCACCCGACCGGCAAAAGGCGTTTCCAAAAGAAGAAACACCTGTGGAAGAACCTCTGCGTTACGTAGTGCAGGGCCGACGCCTGAGAGCGGGTGTTAGTGGTTTAGAGACCGCCATGGACGAAATATTGGACGGTGCCTTGAATAGGCTTCCATGGATACCTACTGCTATAAATATTAGCGTGGATTTGGTGTGTGAATAGCGTCGCAAGTACGTTTCCGAACACATTGTGAGTGTGAGATTGTTAGTGCGCCGTACAGAAACTACCGTGCAAGCGACTCTACCGTGACATGAGCATCCACGTCCCGTGACTCGTGAGTGCGCCGCCCGACCAGCAACAGACCTCGCGCTGTTGCGAATCGCCCGACCGAGACAGCACGGCCCGGGCCTGCCGGCAGCCGCCCGACCGCCAAGGTCATCGCTGGCCGCACGGACCCAGCGCGAAACCGGTCGGCGGGGCAGCGGCCGCCCCCCTGCCGACGGTTTGGCCGAGGAGCAGAGCCAACGCCGCTACAAACAAGTTATGTCCGTCTAATATCATAAGCACGGCTTCTGAAGACGAGAGTGTTATCTGATTGCTTAGTGTTATCTGATTGATGCATGAGTGATTGCGATTTATGTGAATTTTGGAATGGCGATGTGCTGGTGGCCTCAGAACTGATGGAACAGCGCCACCTGCTGGTTGAACAGTGACTATGGGTTCCCATAACTCGCCACAGGTGGCAGCAGAAGTGACGGCGGGCTCCTGCTCTGCTCGGCATCAGGTGCCGAAGTGAATGAGTGTGACGGGGGCTGTGTTGTTTGTCCAAACAGACGGCAGCTCCCATATTTGTGATAAATAATGCATGTTTTTGCTACGTGCCTATGTGCCATGTAACCACGCGTGGGTCGTCCCACTGCCTATAGGTATGCTCAACATTGTACCCGAGGTCTAACGAGATATCCTCGTCGTAAATAAAAGCCAGTAACACAAGCGTGAAACAAAATGGGCAAATACGGTCCACTAGGTACCTACCTACCACACACTTGAAACCTGAGTCACTGCCACTAAGAATCGGAAAAGCCACTACATTCGAACCTAAACGAAACTTTACCGCACTTCTGCACATCTATATTTTAAGAAACACAATGACCATGCAATACACTATATAACATCTGCACAATCCAACGACTATTAAAAAACACACCACCCCAGCATACCTCGCATCCATCATCACTTCACACATAGCACCGACGGCACCAAAGTCTGGTATGAGACCACCAATCACCACTGGTGCGGCTCCCACTTTCCGTCGTCGTGCCATTTGACCTCGGGCTCGCGGTGCGACCAGTCCTTCTTGCCCTCCTGCCAGCCCCGCGGCGGAGCGCTCTCGTAGTCGAAGGTGACGCCACCGTCCTTCCCTGCCAGCTGGGCCTCCAGGTCCACGTGCTCTCTGTGGAGTACAACAGTAGAGTGAGTGGCATGCTAAAGAAGGACGTGAACTAAAGCGAGGGTTGACATTTCAAGTAAAGGCAGAGGTTGCAATCAAAGCATTAGAACCGTGGTGACAACTCACTGATTCGATTCGGGTGATCACACCAATCTGTCATTCAGAAGCGATCAAGAAGCGACCAGTACGATGAACAACGAATGATCGCGAACGTCTCCAGATACTTGCCAATTGCCATTCAAAACATTAAAAGCGCAGCTTCATTAAAATAAGCACCCAGTTTCAAAATTATTTTACGACATCAAAATGTGCTTCCCTGTGTTGTAATGAATAATGCGCCATCTCAGTTTCCGTCCCCTTGTCCCTCTCTCGACCTCCAGCGGTACGACGCACGCACCTGTACTCCGTTCCCATGACCAGTTTGCCGGTGATGGGATCCCTGTTGTCGCCGTAACGATACACCGTCTTCAGCAGCTGGAACTTGACCTTGCCGAGGGCGTCGTCGGGCATCTGTTCGATGAGCACGGTGTCTCCGGCGCGGCACTGGTGCTGCGGGTCCCGAACGTCCAGTGTGGTGTTCTCCGGGAAAAACTGGCACCGAGCACAGGTTAAATAAGATGAACAACAGTGCTATAGCGAAATGATAGAGTTTTGTGATATCTGATGGCAAATAAATGCAATAAAATCCAATATTATCAACAAAAGTACAAAATAACAGCAATAGATGCTACACAAGAAAAGGGGGAATGTAGGATGAAGACAAAGTCACTAAACAACCAAGGCTCTAAAACATCAAAATATGAAGAAAGAGGACAAATATGAAGAGTCCAAGTTTCAAAAAAAAAAACTTAAGATAATTAATACTGATGCCTAGTTTCCTTATCTCTAGCTGAAAGATATCTGCTACAGAATAAAATTGCAGCCTCAAAGCCCAGAGATCAATGGTTATCCAACACTAATGGTGGAGCTGGCAGATGCTTCCAATCTTTCTATTACAAACTTTGAAATCAACTGAAAGTTCTAACAAGACAACTGACAACTGCAGCAAGAAGCAAAGAAACAAATGAAATTAAGAAGCCTATGCTTTTAGGGTAAAGAGCATAGAAATAGAATGTATGTAACAGCATCAGAATCAGATCCCACTCTAACCTTAACTAGGCAGCAAATTTACACCAGCCAGCACATTCCAAGCTTAACACTTCTACTGCAGTTCTATTGCTGAATTTTATATTGCAAGATTTCTAAATTTCTATTTAGGTGTGTGCATTTGTGAAAATACAATTGCAATAAGACCACTTATTACAACACATCTAGCAGCATTTTCTCTGCATCATTTTCTTGGACAACACAGACAGTGTGCAAGCACATCAACATGGCACCACTGCAGTCAATCCACTAGGTATGCAATACCAATACCAATACACAGTAGGTACACACTGGCAGTCGGCAGAGAGGACGAGTCTCAAAGAGATGAGTGGACTTGAAGAAAATATCATGTTTCATATTTTCGTGTGTGCTTAGTATAAGTGGGAACGAATATTAAAAATAAGGCAACTTACAAACATCAAAAATTAGACAACTTAGTAGGTACTTACCGCATTCAGTATTTCGTCTCTCTTCAGGGTTCGAACCGTGACTTTGGCTAAGCCCTCAACATTTGAAGGTAGACATTGACCGAGGTACATTGTTAATCGTCTTGCGGCCATATTAACAGCTTAAAACAAAAATATGTTGTCTAATGAACCACTTGTCTGATAAATTTCAGGATTTTTTTGCGAATATGCAAACTCTGCTGCAGCTTTAAAATGTCTGAAGAGCGTTATTATTGAAACGATTAGGATATGGTAGTATTGCTAGGAAAACTTTGTTAGGCCATGAAAATGCATTGAAACCTCCCTTCATCAAGATAAATTGTTAGAGATACTGGTTCGTAACGTAACTGTGAAAATTGATCTAAAACGAAAAAAAGCTTTGGAATTTATGTTTTAACCAATTTTATCAAGTAAAACGGTGAGTTCTTAAAAAATAAAATGGACTTTCACAACGCTCTTTTTTCCCTTTATGTGAAAGCTACCAAATAGCTTATGCAAGGCAAAAGATAAACAATCCCGTCAGCACCAGTTCAGTTCGCATCGTGTCGAGGTCGAGCCGGAATTGATGCCTCAATTTCAATTTCAATTCGGGGACCGTTGCAGTTGCTGTTGCTATTCAGTCACCTTTTCTCAAGGACGTCTCTTTTCTTGAGGGCAAGTTGTGAGAGTCGTCTGATCTTTGTCGCCTCTTGATTGCCAATCAAGCCTGAATCATCATTGATACTGTTTGGATTGTTTTGCCAGTTTTGGTAAGTCAAAGTTGAGATAAAATTCACAGCTTTTCATACAATTTTTACTGCTGTCTGTTTTAACTTTCGCCTGCTGATCATGTAGCTAGACTAGAGCTTTTGCGATTTTCTTAGCCGTAGCCCTTTTAAGGTTCTCATTTTTGGCTTTTGTAATAATCTGCTGAATGACACTTTCCTGTAAAACTTTGGTAGCATTTTAAGCATTTGAAGTTCACACTGAACCTACATTATCACTGAACCTGTGCTGTTGAGACCTCAGTAACTCAGTTGATAACATTTTACAGTACTCAACTAGGGTGCCGTGCATAATAGAGCCAGATCAGAAAAATCCAAACTCTATGCCAGTCGCCAGATGCCTCAGGGACTCTTATGCTCTGAACTTTGGCACAAACAATTTTGCACTGATATTTTGCCATGATTTGTGGCAAAATTTACCTTTTTGTCCATTTAAGCTCATACCCAGCCAGCAAAATTGGTATGAACTGTATCTTGATCTGGTTTGCTCTGGCTAGTTCCGGCACCTTACTTTGGTTAAAGTACATGCAACTTGCAAGGTCTGGAGCTCTACTGGAGCTGACACAGGATCCCAGAGCTCGCCCGCACGCGGCACGGTACCACAGCCGGACTTAGGCAGCATCAGCCATGCCGTATCTCAATCGTACTTCAGCCACAGTAAGCCAGAGCAGCTAAGAGACAGCTGGACCTGGCTGTGGCAGAACCGTAGCAGGAAGCCGGACTTGAGCCGGAGTTGGTGGTCTGAAACCACACCCACTCGGGAGCACTATGGCAAAGGCTGGCTAGCCAGAATAGAGCCATATCGACCCAAACCCCTTGTTCCGACGGTGTTCCATTTACACCGTCCAAAATCTGGCCAGTCGGAGTTGCCGGGGCAAAACGGACTTAAGCCAAACCATATTGCTGGCTGGGTACACATGCTGATGTAGAGTACTGGTCTACTTTGCCTGACCATCATTATTTGTATTTCATTCACCCATTTGTGACCGAGGTACGGCTGGTTCACAGAGCACTGAGCAGCGATGCTGAAGGTCGCAGTGATTGGGGCCGGAGCCGCCGGGCTGGTGGCTGCCCGCCTGCTGTCTGCCGAGCCTGCCGTGTTTGCGCCGCCCGTGGTGTTTGAGCAGGCGGCTACCATCGGTGGAACCTGGGTCTACACAGACCAGGTCGGCAAGGATCGCCATGGCCTGCCCATCCACTCCAGCATGTACCGAAACCTTCGGTGAGTATGGTGTGCCCACAGCGCCTTCAGGATGGATTGGTATTGAATTATGAGGTGGCTTCCTGACTCAGCCTGTGGCCTGTGAATTGGAATAGGGGTGAGGTTATTGCTATGTATGATGTTCAACTCTAAGATAAGTGATGAGAATATTCCGTGATTTAATTCATCATGGCTTTTACATAGCTATGTCCTTGGTAAAAAGCACGTAAGATGCATCTCTTTTTGTGCCATTCGATCCTTACAATTACGTAATACCTACATGCTGTGCTGCCCCAGTTCCTTCACTGTCAGCTGTACTATTACAGTTGTCACCCTGACTCTTTGCAGAACGAATTTGCCCAAAGAGGTAATGGGCTTTCCAGATTTTCCATTTAAGGAAACAAGCTACAACGGAAAGTCGTTTATTTTCCACGAAGAAGTGCTCGATTACTTGCGCAGCTATGCGTCTGAGTTCAACTTGGAACGATTCATTTCGGTAAGTTTGACTTTCAAACATTTATCTGCGAGGTATAACATCAGAAAGTAATATGAATCGTTAATTTGTTGGCATAACTTGCTTCATTGGATATACCGTGAACTGTTTCCCAGGTCGCTAACATCGTTGTGTTTCTTTGGTCTTTGTAAATGAGCTGTTGGATCTGATACAGTCAAAAGTTCAAGTGCCAGTGATTTTGATGGTTTTTAAGCGCTTTTGTGAATATCGTGTTACCCTAGCTCCCACGTTTTTACGGTGAAACCGATAAGTGAACCCGCTAAGCTTTTTTTCTTGAATTGTTAGTTCCGATCGCATGTTAGCCCAAGGGCCTGCAAAAAGAGGAACAGATAAACCTAAAGCCTTTTTCTATGCCAGTGTAGCTAAGTCACACGTTGTCAACACCTCGTTTTTTTGCGTTGTGCTCAGCTAGGGCGTCATGGCATAAGACACAAATGTAGTGAAGTATGTGATTGGTTGTGGATATTGTTTGTCTATAAAGTAGCCTTCTGTATCCTTGTAATGAGTATATAGTACATGCCTAATTGATAACGACGCTGTACTGTACTGGTGGTAGTCGTATACCAATACGTCTTAGCTGCTGGTGAAGTGAACGTTTCTTTCTTGATCACATAGCGACATGCGTTGAGTGGTATAAAAAAATCATGTCGCGAAAAAAAACTTTCGATGGGCATTTTAAGACTTTCCGCAAATGCGTCATTATATTTGAACAAAGCTTTGGTCAAAAAGGCCAACCGTTTGTCATTCGAAGGGCAAAAATTGTGAAATTGAACGATATGCGGATGTGATATATGTACCATAAGACGTGCCAAAGCTGCCGGTGCTGAGATATTCGCGAAAAAGGAAAACATTACAGAGAAACAAACATACCCCGAATGCCACGACGCGGTTAAAAAGGTAAGGGTAACCTTTCACCAGATTACTCACCAAAGGCCTGAAGAAACAGGCATAAACTCGGTGGACTACTCTCTTGTACTCAGACAGACTCAGTAAAAAATGTATGCTCTTATCTCAAGTACCTTTTCAGAACAGCAAGTCATTGATTCATATGCCTTGCTTCTCATAGCTGAGACTTGAGTTGGTGCTATTGCTGGTGGCTTTTTGTACGATCCTTTTCCACGAGTGAGATGAGACTGTTGCGGCTTATATAACGCTGAGCAATATAACTTAAGTTTTTAGAAGTCGACTGCGTCGTTGAAAAGCGGCGTTTCCCATTGATAACTGCAAGTTGTTGCGAAATCAGATACAGGAAATCCTCTACGACTTGCGAGTCATCTGAATTGGACTTTGACCCGGTCGCTGCCTATACAATGCGTAGTAAGTTTGTATCGTAATTCGGGCTGGAATGTTTTGTCAGAAGCCACTCACCCCACTTGATTGCTTTGTTGCCTCTCAGTATTTTGTCTTATTTCTATGCGTATCGCGGCGGATTTCATCAGTTTTTATTTCGGCTCACACCTCTCCGCACCCTGCTAGTAAGGTGCGTTTCGAGTGACCTCAGCTAAGCTGCTTTTTATGCACTTGTTGTCGACCGGGGGGCATGGCTCTTATGTCCGCATCGCTGGCCCGATAAGGTGATATGAGATACCTCTGCGCATATATCGTACCTGGGCACACGTGCGCGGGAGCGTGCGAATCGCGGTATTCTTACTCATCTGAATGAAATGGATATGTGAACTGGTGCTGCTTTTACATATGTTGAGTCACGATTCTCGGCATTGTGGATACCCTAGATGTTACTATCCAGAACGTTCATGAACAGATGCATCTGCATAGCACCATTGCCCTGCAGCTTAAATTGAGAAGCAGCTTGGGATGACATTAGCAGTGACGTTTGCTCTTTTCGGCTACACTTGCATTAAAACATAGACCGAGGCGAGATAAGAACAACAATTGTAAAGTCATTAAATGACATGCTGACTTCAGGTATCAAATAGATTCGAAGTAAATCTTTTTTTTTTAATTCCACCGGTCTCGTTCTTATTCTCAATAAAGTAACAGTTTTCATTTAAGCTTAAATTTCTCTCTGCTGGCAATCAGAGGCGTCAGTTGGCGGCTCAAAACAAATATTTACTCTTTCTCCTACCAGATCTCTTTCTCACTTACTCACTCTCATACTACCCCGTCCCTCACTCTTCCCCAGTTTGAGACACGTGTGGAACAGGTGACCCCTCTGAGCGTGGGTGACCCTCGCTCGGGATGGAGTATCACCACTCGTAACCTGACCACGGGCGCGGTCGAAAACCGACACTTTGACGCGCTGCTGGTGTGTAACGGGTGAGTTGTCGCAGAAGATAGGCTCGCGGAGTCTGGGATCAGTGTGGCGACCTGTGAAGGGATTGGTATATACACCCTGAATACCGGCGACTTTGAGCTTGTAATTTACACGGAGGATACTTTGTGTTAATTTTTTGTGTACTTTACGAACTAAATTAAATTTACAGTTGCCACACGAACCGATTGCCGAATGTACTGCAAATAATTCTAATGACTGAAGATAACCATCCTATTTTACGGATGAAACTTGAAACGCAATATGTCTATTGTCTATAATATAGTTTGAACTTGGAATGGCTATCACCGAAGTCGGGTGTGACTTTCTCCCGTTCCCCGTTTTCCAGTCACTACTCGGTTCCGGCCGTGCCCAACATACCGGGACTGAAGGAGTTCCAGGGGGAGGTACTGCACAGTCACGACTACCGCTTCCCTGAGCCGTACACAGGTGAGATCAGGTGTCAGTGAATGGGGTGGGGTAGGGAACAGTCACTACCGCTTTCCTGGGCCTTACACAGGTGAGATGTCAGATGAGCCATCAGTGGAGAGGTTTAGAGACACTGGACAGCTGCTACCGCGTTTATTAGAGCCCTGTACCAATACGGGTGGAATCAGGAGCCGATGACAGGTGGAGTACACTCACTGCCGCGTACATGAGCATTTCTTGGTGGCTAGCAGCCATTCGACTTATGCAATTCGGTCACCGACGTCTTTATGCCGATCTGTAGCTACTGGCTAACCACTCACAAGCGTGTTTATATCATCACGTTTTCAGCGTTTGTGTCTCTTGGCCAGCTTGAACCTTTGTTGTCTTGTTTCATCAGGAAAGAGGATAATTCTGCTGGGAGGCCGGGCTTCGGGCATCGACATCTCCATGGAGGTCTCCAAAGTGGCCAAACAGGTGAGCAGAAACGATGTCGATTCAATGCCCAAACGGCTACCTGGTACGTTTGGGCTAATGTGGTGGCTAATGTGGTAAGAGGATGAACTAGGAATCGTTCCTAATATTTTAATGAAATCAAGGGGTAGTATTTTGTAACATTTTTCTTCCTCTCCATCCCTGCCTCCCTCTCTTCTCCACATTCCTCCCTCTCTTCTCTCTCTCTTCTCTCTCCATCTCCCTCCCTCCCTCCCTTCTCTGACCACCCTTCTCCAATCATCAGGTGTACCTCGCCCACAACCAGCCGCCGTTCCCTGCCACGCTGCCCGACAACATGCGCCAAACGGTGGGCATTGAGCGGATGGACGGCAGTGAGGCCGTGCTGCTCGACGGCTCCAGGGTCGAGGTCGATGTGCTCATGTTCTGCACAGGTGAGTTTGGTTGGAGTGGGAAACGGGAAATGGGTGGCTAACTAATGTGGTTCATGGAAGGGGGATGCGCAAGAATTGTGGGCTATTTCGGATGAAGGGCTAGGCCTATGGGCAAGGCTTGGGATAGGCGATGTCGTTGTTTATTTTAAAGTGTTTTTTTCAGATTCGCTTTATTTTATCATCCTGTCCCCTATGTTGGCTCTAGGGTGCAAGTTTTAGTTTTGCTTCAAGGTATGAGATTCTGGGCGTACCCTAGGCCAACTCTTTGTTTCCCTTTCAGGCTACGAGCTTGTGTTTCCATTCCAGGTTACTAGTTTGTGATTCCGTTCCGTGTTCCAGGTTACGAGTTACCGTTTCCCTGTTGCAGGTTACGAGTTTATGTTTCTGTTCCAGGTTAGGAGATCCTGTTTCCGTGTTCCATTTTACGAGTTTGTGTTTCCGTGCTCCAGGTTACGAGTTCATGTTTCCCTGTTCCAGGCTACGAGTTTGTGTTTCCGTTTCTGTCGCCGGAGTGCGGTGTGTCAGTGGTCGACCGCCAGGTCCGGCCGCTCTACAAACACCTGGTGCACACCGAGTACCCACGCATGGCGTTTGTCGGCCTGCCCACGGTCGTCCTGCCGTTCCCGCTCTTCCACAAACAGGTCAGTCGGGGGATCACAAACTTTCAGCAGTAGACACGTTAGTGTGACTTACCCATCTACATAAATGAGTCGGTTAGCCCGAGGGCTCCTGCTGTTTTGGAGTCAGATTTGGTCTGTGGTACCGTTTCCCGACCACAGTATCAGGGTACAAACTTGGTATGATATTTTCCCTGGTCGTGCAAGCATATCAGTAAAGTTGTGGAGACTTTGCCCTTTATAACACAATCAGGTTAGTGTGGCCCGATAACCCTGCCACAAAAAGCTAGTGTTGTCCTTTCACACATGCTCATCAAACAGGTAAGAGAAAAACCTTATCGTCTTTTGCCCGTCCCTCCTCTCAACCAGGTTCAGTTTTTCCTGGTCAGTTGACGTCCCCTTTTTCTCCTCATCAGGTGCAGTTTTTCCTGGCCAGTCTGACGGGCCGGCTGCAGCTACCTTCCCGTGCCGAGATGACTGAAGACACAGTGCGGGACCTACAGCGTCGCCTCGAGATGGGTATGCCGCGGCGGTACGCCCATTTCCTCGGCCCCCTCCAGTGGGAGTACTTTGACGAGCTGGCGGCCATGTCGGGCACGGCGCCGATGCCACCCGCCGTCAGGGAGCTCTATGATGAGGTCCACGTGCAGAGGTGTCACAACCTCTCCGGCTACAAAGACAAGGCGTTCAGGATCACCGGGCCCGACTCGTTTGTTGAGGTGACAGATGAGGTGATGAATGATTTGTATAGTAAGCTCTGAAAGAGGGGGTGGCTGTTAGAGATTACGGAATAAGCTCGGCTCTCAAAGAAGGGGTGATGTAAGTTGTTGGAAAGGAAGGATGAATGCTAGCTTTAATGGAAGGGTGTTTTAAGTTGGTGGAGATTGAGAGGAACTGCAGTAGTTCTGAGCGATGGGCTGATGAAAGCTCTCTGTAGAATGGGATGAAAGCTAGCTAGAGTGGGGAGCTATTTCTTTCAGTAAGGACGGGGTTACACGATGCACTGTTGGTGGCGCGCTGTGAGGATGATTGAGTGAAGAATTGACTGCATTGGGGTGGGTGCATTTTAACAAAGGGGGGCATTTCAAGCACCCTGCTACATTATCCAGAGGGACTGACGGCACTCTAGCTGGGATAGATACTGTGCTTGCTCCACGCGAGCAAGCCTCCTGGTTTTGTTTTGTGGCATTCAGGGACAAAGAAGGCTCTTGCCAAGTAAGCCAGATAGCGATCGCTCAGTTTTTCCATAGCCAAGTTCTGCATAGCTGACAGCAAACTGGGACAAAGAATGACGTTCGTATGGTCTGTGGCCTGTGCTCGGGTAGCGCTTTTTGAGGTAGCGTTCAAGTAGTGTCGTAAAGGTGTCCATTGGTGTTAGTGGTTGAGATAAGGCGATCTTTTAGAACGATACCCACCCTTTAAAACTTGGCGAGTTAGGATGCGCTGTGAGCAGCAGCCTAGGATGGGGTTTAGTGTTACTGGTTTGTATTGATTGTGATAGGCTGTCCAATGTCCATTACTAATGCTTGTTGGTGCTAACCAAGGCAATAGCGATGCCGTTGTCCAACAATAATGGATGTGGATGCGATGTGGAAGTGTGAATTGCGAGAGCTTATGTGCTATTTTTGTATGGACGGTTTGAGTCAGTTCAAGAGCCAGATTTATCCAGAGGCGAAGTGATTTTGATATCGCAGTTGCTTTTGTTTATGCAGCAGCTGTTTCCTGTGCTAGCTAGTGCAATGGTATTGAGCTTTTATCGGTAACATTTTCAGGCGTCGTTGAATCGTCAGCGGCGCGGCCAATATGTGTTGTAACATGTCCTGTGCCGTTCTCAGGGTACATATTTGTAATGTGCATATTCACAGTTCTGCATGATTCACATGCATTGGAAATTGATCGGTTTGTGACTGAATCGTGCCTTATAGAATTACATATAAATATTCAGTCTATTTAGACTACAGGCTACGCTTGTGTTACATACACTCGTGTGCCTACACACGAAGGTCGGTTTTGTTAGAACGACGGCACTTATGCGACTGTTGCATTATGGGGCGTAATGTCACCCCATCCAGCCGTGCCAATGTAGCGTTGGTCTAGCTAAATACTTAATACCAGTATTTGGTGGTCTTTGTGCCAACGCAGTGATTCGTGTCACAATAATTGTTTGAATTTGTACCTTTGTGAGGTGATCATTTCAGTGCAGCCGTTAGTACATATAGGTACTGATTGCTAGGGAAACAGTACTCTAATCGAAAGGTGATTTACAGATTCTGAAGGCCTATGAAATGTAGACGGGTCGTTTTGGAAGCCTATCAGCTCTGAGTGGCTGACGTGCTCGTTTGTGGTGCAATAGATCGGTGAATGAATTATTTGTTATTTACCAGTCAGTTTTCTTCTGCATGTTAATTGGCCAGCCTTCGTCACATCGGGTTTATCGTTTTCACAGCCCCTAGATCTTCAAACACGAATAGATGCGACACGTATTTATTGAATATACACATTTCAGCTACAGTGGACCTCTGAATTGGTCCGATGGATAGCGCTGGCGATTACAAATATCACAATAGCATAACTTTCACACTCAGCTGCTGTTGTCGATAACAATCACACCCGCACGTGCAGTCATACATTACACACCATTGTACTCGCACACTCGCGCACATACACGCACTCGCGTGAGGTGGTTTGGCCCCTGGTTGATGCACATAATCATCAGGTGATAATTGATACCATTACACTAAAATGACGGTTCACTATCAACCATGATAAAATTCCTTTAAATGTCAACACATCGCGTCACTGGGAAACACTTATCCAACGGACACAGTTCCTTCATATGGCAGCCCTCCTGGCCGCCGGCAAGATAGCACACTGCTGCACAGGCCGGTCTCTCACGGCCAGCGGCGCTGAGCGGCCCCGCGCTCAGCTGTTCGGCCCGCTCCACGAGCCCACACACTGGCCTGTGGCGGGCGCCGACCGGCGCGACGGTGCCGCCACCTACAGCTGCAGATCCGACAGCGCTGCCACCTACAGGCAGCTCGCTTCAGAGGCGAGCGACCCAAAGTAGCCGCCGGGCACATTCTCTCGCGGCCACTCACACAAACGATTGGGCGATGACGTATGTACAGATGCTTCTTCGTCGGCGCCGGCGCCTCACCGGAGCACGACGTTGCTGCTGTACAGCTCCGGGTGGTCGGAGCGCGGCCCCTTCTTGAACGGGTTCCACGAGTGCCGCTTGGCCGAGCCCTTGCTGTTCTGGCTGGCCAAGCTGCTGGCGGGACTGGGTTTTCGGCTGGATACACCGGAGCTGACGCCGGAGCTGGACAGCGAGCCCCAGGTCTTGTCCGAGAGCGGCGGCAGCGTCGGTGGCCGCGGCGGCTCCGGAGTCTGCCGGAGAGTTGACGATGGTCAGGGAGGCAGACACCAGTATTAGCACACAATACTAAGACTCCTTTTTGAGAAAAGACAAGAGGACAAACAAAAACGCATACAAAAATCCTAGAGCTGCTGAAAACGCAACTCCTGCATTACAGCACAAAACGCACAAGAGGATGCAAAGAATACTAAACACTCCCCATACATGTAAACGCCGAGTAATGTCTCCCCTCTTGACCATACCTCCGCCGAACTTACGCCTCTCCTACCCGGCCTCTCCACCGCTCACCACTTCCCGTACCTGCACCCCTCCTCACTCACCGGCTCCGTCTTATCCATGGGTGTGATGATGTGCAGCGTGAACTGGGAGCCGGCCCGCCGAATGTGAGCCACCACATCCGTGTGGCTGGCCCACTTCAGATCCTCGTCGTCAATGCCGGCGATGTAGTCGCCCTCCTTCAGACCGACTCGCTGTGGGAAGGAGAGGGGAGTTAGTGGGGAACGCAGCGAGATAACTGTTGGACGGGAAAGAGGTAAATGCTGCTGAGATACTCGCTACAAACAGTCTAGTCGTGGTCGCTGTGCAGCATCACTTAGTGTTGAAACGCAGCTGTGTGAGCAGAATCTAATGACAAGCTGGATGATTGATACCGACTCATGTTGTTTAGAAAACATTTAACAATCAACAACTCCCTATGGAATTTCTTTCATCAACCAAGTTATTATCCATGCCGTCTCCACCCCGGTACCCACCTCGGCCAGGCCGGCCGGCTCCACGCCCACCACCACGACGGGCGCCTCCATCTTGACGCTGAAGCCGAGCCCCTCGCCGGCTCTCCGCTCGATGTGCACAGCACGGGGCGCGGACCAGTGGTGGTGTGCCGAGAACACCTCCACCGGCCCCAGGCTGCGGAACAGGTCCGCTACCTGGTACCGACTGAAGTCGGGGGCCTGCAGAGACAGCTGGTACTTGGAGGAGCCTGCCAAACGGAGACGGGAGGGGGGGGGGGCGTTAGATGCTCGGTAAAGGGAAATGATGGGAGTGGCCGGTAGCCAACAAAGTTATAGTTCCCAATGAATCGTGCTATGGAAGCATACATTATATGCAGTTGCACTTCGGTGCCACTTTCCATCAGTCACCAATGCATTAGAGACACGTCCCAAATCAAAATTATCATGAAGTTAACTAACTAACAACAGAAAACATCCACAACAAATAAAAGAACAGGCTAAAAAGCTTCACCAGAAAAGAGTATGTATGCAATCCACCATCTCCTATAATCGTCCCGGCCCACCACCCGACAGCGCCACTTACCTGTGATGACGGGCGGATCGACGGGCTCGTCAAAGTCGTCCTCTCGCTGCAGCAGGGTGTACTGTTCGGTGCTGAGGTCCAGCCCCAGTCGCAGCACGTGGTGCAGCATCTCCCTCTTCTTCAGCTCCCTGGCCATCCGGTACAGACGCAGAGCCTCCTCGTGCAACACGATCGCCTCGTGCAGGTGGCACTTGGCTGAGGGAGAGGGGAAGGGGTCGGTCAGGAGAGCAGGGTCTCGATAGGGCTGGAGCAGCAATTCTTTCACAATGTGTTTTGGTGTCTAATCGAGCAAAGAACTGCTCCGAAACCGCCGTTCAGCTATTGGACACCAGTCCCTCGGAAGGCTTATAACGCCAATCGTGCATAGAAGCAGCTGCGTGTCATATTACAACAACTCCAGTCTCCAGGTCACTATAAATCCGAGCAATCCTATCAGGCGCAATTTTAGTTTATCACAATATTCAAGTTCCCTCCGAATTAATCATTAACGAGAATACCACGCAGAAACTCCGGTCACTCACCGAGGTACTCCTTCTGGGCCGTGTTCTTGGGCACCTTGTGCTCGACGCTGAGCAGCTGGCCCTCCCGGTCCCGCTGGGAGAGCTGAAGGGTGTCGGCCACCCGGCGGGTCAGAGGTCCCTCGTGCTCCAGAAGGCCTGAAAGGAGACAGAGGGGTCAGTTGGCAACAGATGTAGGTAGAGCAGCTCCTTATGTGGAGGACAGATGGGAATGATGCGTGATGTTACCTGGCAGACAGTAACTTATTAGGATACTACTCATTATGCCGTGTTTGTTACGTTACTAATTTGCATTGACACACACATTAGTTGATTGGGGATGGCTGCACGGTCTCACACTGATAGTTCTAATCAGGAGCACGAGCAGAACGACAAGTAAAAACAATTTGCTCCCAAACAACCAGTAATCCACCCTGCAAGAGGCTGAACCATGCCTAACACCGCTATTGTTCTGCCAAGATAATTGATAATTATTTCCCCATTCTTGTCGGCATGTTACGGGAAAATGGACCGATTGGCCTCTGCCCCGCCCGGCGAGCACAAGCACGGCACGCGACAACTGCACCTGGTCTTGTTATCTCAGACCAAGGTCGCTATGACAGGGTAAAGGCCGTGTAAACAATAGTGGACTGCAAGAAATGTGTAGCAATAGTCGCGGAACAGCTACCCGTATACACACGAACGGCACATGTCGATGTTTAAAGGAAAACTGGCACGGGCCGAGGAATTCCTTCATCCGCCGGGTACTGACCGACTCCGAAGTGGTGGTGCGAAAGGGCGGTGTAGTAGACCTCCTTGATGTGAATCAGCTGCTGCCAGGAGAGCGGCAGCGACTCCTGGACAGAGGGTGCTGCCATCTGCTCCCGCAGGCGGTGGTACGTCTCCGATACCTGGCGACGGAGGAGATAAGTCAGCATTCGGAGTGGATTCACGAAAATCAAGCGAATCGTGGTTCGTATTTTACTCCTCCCATTAGTAAGCCAAATGGTTTTAACTCGTGCATCTGTTCAAGTACGAGCCATTGCCCATTATTAGAAATCCGCAAGCGACAAGCCATAGGCGGCGGAACGAGGGGGCACCGTGCCCCCTTTGATTTTGGCATTTCAACATGACATTCCCTATGGCGTTGCATGGAAAGAATGGGACCAAAAGTCGGCAGTGCCCCCCCCCCCTCCCTTAATTGACGGTGTTCCGCCGCCACTATGACAAGCACCTTGGCGGAAAATCAACTACTCGTGCCGCACATACGCATCCATCCTCCCACCAGCTACTTTCCCGCCGCCGCACCTGCGCCGCCTCCTGGCCAATGTCCAGCTGAGCGCTGAGGTCCAGCTTCTCCTGAGGAAGCAGCAGCTTCTCCAGCAGACACTCCTTGGCCTGCGCCAGCAGCAGGTTGGACAACACGTCCAGTACGTCAGCGTCCAGATCCCGGCTCGGAGCGTTCGAGAAGTTCTCCAGAATGTACCTGTGTTTGTAGGGGAATGAGGGTTAGTAAGCTGTCTGTCACGAACGGTAGGATGGGGAGTCACTCGCGGTGGGGTGGGCCGAGTGAATTTGGTGATAAGGTCGGTGTTGGAACAGCCCGCGTGACGCGAGTGTCACACTGGTCAGATGAGATGCCGGTGATAGGGTGACACCTCGCGTGACGGCCAAGGCTACACAAGGCTGCAACCAACCGGCGGAGGTGTAGTCTTGTAACACCTGGGTGCCGCTCAGGTGTCTGGTGTGTGAAATGCCTCTCAGGCAAGACAAGAAATACATAGATAATTATCAAGGACATATTACACGTTTCAACAAATACACCTCAACAAATACATGAACTCATATTGTACGACATGCAGGTGTTGAGAAACGTTACCCAACCAGTTGGCCAACACTGTCAGGCAAACGCATTCTCAATGCGTTTATCTCTTTCTCCGACTTCGATGCGCCGTAGTACCACCCTACCAATCACGGCTCGGCAGTTATCCAGTCCTCACCTATAGATTCCGGCTGCACTTAGGTAGCTGTACGCTCGGCTCCACGCCACCCCCAAGGCCTCACCTATAGATTCCGGCTGCCCTCAGGTAGCTGTCCACAGCGCTGTCCAGGCCCTCCTGGGTTCCTCGCTCCTGACGAGCTGCCAGCTGACTGTACAGAGCCGCCATGTTGAACAGCACGG